GACAATGGTGTTGATGCTCGTCGGCCGATATTGTGCATGCCAATCAGAAACAACAAGTTTGAAATTATTGGTGAGAGTGTTATTCTGCTTGCTAACATTAATTATTAATTAATTATTATTATTATTATTATTATTATTATTATTATTATTATTATTATCAAATCAAAGCAAGAACCCTTCAGTAAAGGACAACCGTTTTCTTTTTTAAAGGGGCGTCACCATTGACCAGTTTATCGAGGGATACAATACAATACAATACAAACTTTATTGACACTCCCTAAAGAGGGTTTTTCGGTTACAATGATCTAAAAATTACAAAATTACAGTACTAAAAAGTATAATAGAAAAATTGAGGAAGCTAAAATGTTGATAAATGTTCGCCAAAGTCACAACTAAGAGCGATGAGAAAGGAAAGCAGCAAGTAATTTGGCTCTAAGTTTACGCTTAAAATCACGAGAGAATTACAGAGTTTGAGGGTATTATCTAAACTGTTCCATAGACTTACTGTACGATAAAAGAAAGTCCTTTGTCCAAATTTAGTTCTATAGAAGGGAGAAATGCAGAAGTTGGGAGCTTTGGTCGTGCAACTAGGGTTGGGTATGTCTTAGTCTAAAATTAATTCAGATTAGCACAATTTCAACTTAACTTGATGTTTATTTTCTTTTGTTTATGAATGGTGGTGGTACTTCAGGGAAAAGGAAAACACCTATAAAAACTCTGTTTGTATTACTGAATTTCGTTGTAAACTACAACGTGTACGGGAGAGAGACTCTCTCCCGCGCCACCGTTGGGGTGAAGGGAAGAGACGGCTGAATTTCAGACTAAAGGAGATGAGGATAAGCTTTCTCGTTAACAATGATATCAGATTGGGCTGTAATTTGTTAAAAAATCAGGTTTGAAGGGAAAAAATTGTTCCATTGGCTAATTAGGGGGGGTCCTCTGTTTCTATTTTTAATTTCGTGATATTGATCCTCAAAATGGTCCTTAAAGACCAGGGGCTTCGTGGGAAAGTACTTAGTACGAAAAACCGCCGAACCAGTATAGCAGGAAGCATCTTCTTGAGGCTTTCGATAAAAGTTCGAATAACCGATCAATTTTAATGAAAAGAACCACAATGTGTACTTTTGAAGAAGGCAAAAAAGGATAGTAGGCATTTTATAGAACAGTACAACACACATGGTATTAACAATTGAGTAGATCCAAGTAATTGAAAAATGAATATGAAAACGAAAGCTAAAGTTCATCTTTAATTAAGAGATCTACGACAAGAAATTAACCTTTGAAAACAAAAAAAGAAAGAAAGAAAGATATAATGTAAACAGCTAAGTATAGTTGGTCATAGTAGATGTCTTGATTTATTGTCTTTGGCTTATAGCATTTGTGACTGATCATGATACCCAGGTCGATTTTAGTATTGGGAGTCTCTGGGAAGAGGAAGTCGTAGAGAATCTACAATATACCTTACAAAAGCAGTCAGCGAAATCGCTTTTATAACAGCGACCACTGATGCACAATGAAAACTAGAGATGTTTTGAAAGATTTCCAATTTACGCAAAAAAGAAAACTTCAAAACACTACTTGTGCGATTTTAAAGACGAATTAGAGAGACCCCCAGTAGCGATTCGTTGTATATTAAGATAACGGATCCCAATGCTTTACCCAACATCCTAAAGATTACGACCCTTTCTACCTGAACTGCGTTCGTGAGGCGCACGGTGTTTCCCTGTTCTCAGTTCAAATGTTTTTTTGTTTTTTTTTTTCCGATAATGACAGGAATAATTGTTGTTGTTATTTGTGACATTGATCTCAAGCATATTTTCCATGCATGTTTCCCTGGTTTTCTCTCATATCCGATTTTCTGCAGAGGTTGATGAGGTTTTTTTATGTTTCTATGAAAATTGTATACCGCTCTAGAAACAGAAAGCGCTCGCGCTATCAATTTGTCGCACGCACGAATTCACTCGTCCAATACAGCGAAAACCCGAAATACCCTATCAGTCTTATCAGAACAAATATAACAATAGTCTTGTGAACTACGTCAGTACTTAAAACTTATAAAACCTCAATAGCTTGCCAAAGTTATAAATAACCACCTTTTCTGCTGGACTGACGGTCAGACTTAAGACACACTCACTAAAATAATTTCTTAATATTATGGGCTGTTTTTATGACTCAGCCGTGCGGAGAGTACTCTTCATAAACGCAAACCGCACATGAGCGCGTAAATTCTAATGAATATGAAGTGTTTATTCGAATTGAAGGAGTAGATTAAAATTAGTATCTTGAGTGAAGGCTTCAATGTGTATCCGACCTTAGGGTACATCCTGCCCTCATTGTGATTAATGACTCGATATTGAAATTTCGAAGAAATTCAAGACACGCATAAATACTAAGTCATAAATACTCAGAGCAGTGGCGGAAGCATTCCAATCGCTCCATATTCTTCCTAAGAAACCGTCCAAAAATGTGGTGGTTTTGGCTCTTAGGATGGCTTCTTACCATGGTGACTGTAATTGGAAACGGAGTCGTGATTTGCTTGATCATCTGTATTCGTCGTTTACACAATGCAGCTAACTGGTCAGTGCTTTCCCTTGCCTTCGCGGACTTGTTCGTAGGACTCACTTTTTTTCCTTTACTTCTCGCCATGAAGATCGATAGCCTGAACGATCCTGAACACGAAAACTTGGGTCCGTTTTTCTTGGTATCCAGGACATTCCTTTATTTCTCGGCTACAAATCTGTTCGTGATGATTGTGGACCGATACATCGCCATTGTTCATCCACTGAGGTATCTGTCGATATTGTCACCAAAGGTGATCAAAATTTCTATCACAGTGGCGTGGATTTTACCATTGGCATTATTTACTTTGCCTCGAGGCCTGTACGTCCGAAATAAATATCTACTTGTTTTAAGAGTTTGTACCTTTCAAGTCGTTCCAGCAATTGTATTTGTATTTGTTGCTTGTCGAATATTGTGTATCTTACGCAAGATTTCGGAAAGGAGATCAAAGATTTTTGCCCAACTTCGTTTTAATCACGCGCCGAAATACCCCTCTACCGTGCTGAGATCGAGCAAAGAGAGCAAAGCTGCTGCCAAAATGACAATGGCGATCGGGTTTCTTTTTATTATCTTATACGTCGTTGAGAACTACAAGTGTTTCTGCTTTGTGTTCGAGTTATGTGAAACCACAGCATCACTTGATCTAGCTATTGATTTGCTATTTTTGATTAATTCTGCCTCCAACCCAATAGTGTACGCTTTTCTGAAGAGAGATATAAGAACTGCTATTCAGAGTTTTTTGGCGCGTAGGAAAGTACACGTTCAAAACATTTCAACTGGAACAGAAAGGACTTCAAGCATGCCCAGCTAAGGCAGAGAAAGAAGAGCTGAGTAGAATCTCTGAAAAAGAACTTTTACTAACTGAAAAAATACGCCGTCTTGTCTGCAATCTGTTGGCGACTTCTAAAGGAATCTTAAAGACGAACGCTGTAACACCCAAGATCCGATTTGTAGCTTTCTCTTCAGTTCATTCTCATTGCTTTGTAAATTGCTAAACTAATCAGAATTCTGGTCACTGCGTGTTTAATGGATGATGTATTCATTTATGCCTAAAGTCAAATCTTAATAGCCTCTGGAAGTTCAAAGGTTAGAACTTGGTCATTACGGTTCACTGGAAGAAGAACAGTTTCAAGATGGATATGTGAAAAATAAATAAATTAATTAATTAATGGACAGATGTACAAGTAAATGAACAAACAAAAAATTTTAAGAAAGTAAAAACAATTGTTTCAGAATCCCTTGTTTGCAGAACATTGTCGATTGCCGCTTAAAATTTGCTTTTTAATGAACAGAATTGAAAAAGGGCTGGATCAAGTAAGCCGCTGCCCCGTAAGTGCAACGCGAGCGTCCATAGCACTGTTTTCTATTGAAAATGTTGTGAATCTAAAACCAAAGTACACTCATAAGCCAATCAGAACAGAAGTTAATGAGCCAGGGAGCCAATGACAACTCAAAGAAATACTTATATTTGCTTGAAGCAAAGCAAAAAGCTGGAGCAAATTGTGCTTGGTTTTAAATTTTTCATCGGGTTGATCAAGAGGGTAATGCAAGTTTACAAGACCAATCCTGAATTACAAGATATAATTTGGTTTTATCAACTCATTTGATAATGTAAATTGGCCACCGTAAAGAGTTTTTAAATCTGACGTTTCGAGCGTCAGTCCTTGTTTCACCCTGACGAAGGGCTAACGCTCGAAACTCAACTTTACAAACTCTTTACATTATCAACTCAATCGATGAGACCAAATTATTTTGTATCACCCTCACCGCCACGCAGCACCACAGTATCTTTAGAAATTTACCACCTCTATTCAATCCTGGTTTACATTGGACATTCAGTAATTGAGAAATTGCTACATGAGCTTGTAATGCATTTCATTCATGTTCAACTAAGATCACCTGGTGTAAAGCAACAAGGCAAAGAAAGTTATTTCAAACGTTGATTTCTTACGTGTTTAATAGTTGTGATTGTGACAGAGGTTGATGAGTGTGTTAAAAAACTTGGCTACGACGTTTCGGATTCCAGTGTATTTTTGAAGAATATTGTAAAACTGCATTAGGGGACTTCCTGTGCGCTCACATGGCCTCATCTTCACACTCAGACGATTGAGGGAATTCTTTAAAGGATCCCTTCCAACCACAATACCCTGCGCGCCTCTATTATTGTTTTGATGCCTAGTCAAATAGAAAGAACAATAAATTTGGAACGCGATTGAGGAAATTCAAGACCTCAGTGAGGCAAATGTACTCGGATGAACGAGGATTTCTTTCCACTTCACGACTTGTCCAATACCGGATGGCAGAGAAAATGGCGGATGTCACATATCGCGCGCGCAATGTATTGTGGTTGGAAGGGATCCTTTAAGGATGAACACGAGACGCGGCCGAAGTGCATAACTGTCTTATTTTCCCTACGCCCCTTGTGTTAAGATGAGTTTGGTAAACACGGAAACATTTCTTTGTCACTTGGGGACCAGTCTAATTTCGCTCCCAGATCCTGCCGTGTAACTGTAACTGAAATGCAATCGCTTGACCGTGAAAGGTCTGGGTGCGAGACTAGTAACCAGCCATTATTTATCGCTAGGGGGCATAGGACTTTTGGGGATCACATGTTTTTTTTTTTTCTACGGGGGGAACGGAAGGGGCATCAGTCGCCAGCGGCAGAGTATAAAGATGGTACTATTGAGAAGTGATTACCAATTGGAGGGGGGGGGGGGAAGGGAAACATAAGAATAGTCAGGAGACCTTATCAGGGGGACCAGATAAATTTTGTCGTGACACAACTTAAATCCTCCACCCTCCCCCCTCCTCTTCCCCCTAGGGTGATATATATATTGACCGGTTCCATAATCCTTACGTTATTAGCGAGTAAATAATCGATCAGTTTTAAGTAGCACAGTACGTTGTTCGAATTCACAAAATTATCCTATAGCGTTATAGTTCAGTTCTAAGAACGATGCCATGATGGCACAAGCGAGACATGCGCTTCTAAAATATACCGTCTAACGTTATTTCTAAGGTGCATAATTTTTTTCTTAATTGCTTGGAATTCGAACTCAGTCACTAACTCTTACAATTATTACTGTCATTTCTCGAGGGCTTATCGATCAGTGAACACTCATTATTCTAGATATAACATAACACGCTGTCATTACATAGCAAGGATCTCGTTTCCATTTTCTTGCATCACTGAATGAAAGATCTTACAGCTGCTCTAGCCATCAATTGAAGACTAGCACAGTCCACTACATTTGTATAATTATAACTTCAAGTGTTTTAAGTTTGCTAAGGGTTTAATGAAATAACAATTGAAAGATGGTTGACCAATTACACTACAGGTAATATCTCAGGTTCGTTGTACACCACAATAACTCCTCTACGCACCTCTTTCTCATCACAATACAGAAATATGACAGGAGTAATTTGAAGTAATAAGACTCTGAGAATCCTGCGCTGCTTTACAACCGTGAGCTACACCAGATCTTAACTAGTTACATACATAATTAAGTCAGTGATGAGTAGCTCACACAGTCTTCCTTCCCTTGCCTTTAAGCTATTTATGTTCAGATTGTGATCAGTCACATCGTTTCCAAGAAGATCCCACTTAACCATTTCGTATTTTCGTATCAGCTATTTAACAGCCACTGTTCAAATTTCGCCAAGAGAATTTGGGTACGAAGTCATTGAAAAGGCCACCTTCCTTCAATAAACAGTACTATCGATATATTCCCGCGTTTGTCCAAACCTTCCCAGTAGTATATAGAGGAGAAAAACCTTAATGGAAGAACATTCACATTACTAACAGAGGGGGATCTTTGAATGATAATTTTGTATAAACGCCAATCCCATCTAAAAGGAGAAAATACATCTACTGCACAAAAGCTGGAGTTCTTTAAATATAACAAAGTTATTGTAAGGTCTCACTGATCGACAAGAAGTCAAATACAACAAATATCACTTATGGGATGAGTGGATCTTGTGGGATGTGTTTAAATCATAGACGAAAAAAGAAATTGTGGCTGTCTTATCGAAAAATTAGATAATGAAAAACGGACGGCCTTACTTTCAATTCAGTAATACAGACTAATTCAAAATATGCAAAGAAACCGTCTCCCATTTGACTCAAGACAGATACATAATTCAGGCAATTCTGGAGATTCGTAAAAAGAGACGTTGCAGCCAAAAATTGAAAAACAAGACAAAATGAAAGTGTTCACATTTCTCAAACCGAGCCGTAATCAATCCCATCAAGCAATCGGTGCTATTAACTATCAATTCTTTATCTATAAGCAATAAATGATAACTAGTAATGTCTAATATTATATATCAACTTTGCAATTGTATGTATCTATAATTATATTCATATTCTTTACATTCAAGTGCTCGGCTACAATAAAATTCCATTCAATAACTGATGCTCCCTTAGGAAAACCGGATTGGTGTTTTGATTTGAGTAATAACACCTTCACAATTCAATTTCAACAGTTCCTTAGCTCAGTGGTAAAGATACGTTCTAGAAAAAAAAAGAGTCACTTTTTACTCTCTGAGCTCATACAGTTAAATAACTCAGTCTTGACAATTCAAAATTCAATGGTATGAATGCCCAGGCCCATGCCTTGACCCGCTTGATACTCAATACATAATTGATTGTCACAAAATGTTCACTTAGTTCCCGTAACAGTTCTCTAAGAAGATTCAATCACCATTATTCTAACGTCCTTTGGTGGACGCAGACCTGTGTAGATGAACACATACCCAGTGCCCGTTCTTTAACTGCCACACTCGAGTCTCCTCTGATTGGTCCGTCACTGGTTCGCCGTTGCTTCCGATTCGCTGGGTCAGGCGCACGTACGAGATGCACGCAGCTTCTGCGCTTAGAATGTGCACATGAGGCGAGAGAATCGTGGTATTTGTGGGCGCGTTGCGTTGACGCAGCACGTTATCAAAGTAAAACTTGTGAAACTCTAGACCCTCGACAAGATTTCCAATTGCTTCTGGTTCGAATGCTGTTACGTGGGAGTCGACGAGCTTGCTGTACGTGTCGTAATCTTGAGTGGTTATACTGGTTATCAGTTGCTGCGTTAGGCGGATTATTTCCTGTTCTTTCTGCGATTTCCACTGCGGCTGCGCACTGGCTTGGGTGGTACCATCTGTTTCTTCGGGATGAGTCGCCATTACATCCTCATCAGATCCCTTCTTCTTTCTCGAGCCGCTAAAATTATGCGTCGCTAAAAGTGTGGTGAGAATTGCCCCTTTCAGTTTCCGTCGGGCGTTAAATCTTCTCAAACCATCGAGAGTAGTTTGGCGATGAACTTTCGAGGCAATCCGTTCACTATTCTGAAAAAATTGTACGTACAAAAATCATGCATTTCATACGGTTCATGATCAAAAATTTAGTTAAGCGACTGCGAATTACCTCAGTCAATCATGCAACGTTCCTTACGGCTTCTAGAGTTAAGAACCTGTTTTAAACGTTCAGATTTCCGTCTATGGGGCGAGTGGAATAAGAGATCGAACCGAATATCGTCGTTGGCAGCCCCAGCGAGAACAAGCGAAGACATACATCAGTTCTTTATGGAGCGCATTTGACATAAAGAACAGGTGCTCAAACAATGCAAGTCAGTGATTTACTCAATCCCTTCACCACAACACACTTGGCTCAATTAACAAGGAACTTGACAACGAACCACAAACTTAAGTAATTTCCCGAAAGATTCACAAATTGTTGTTTGAATAACATGGACAGGATGGCTCCGGAAAATAGAAAAAAGGAGACGTAAATATGTGTTGGTTTTTTTCTACGATCGTGTAATTTCACAGTAGAAACAATTTCAAAGATATATATCCGACAGTATGCAAATAAGAGCAACTAAATTCTGCATAATTTGAGTGTGGACAGGTTTTGGTGATCACAATACAATATAGGAGTACCACTTGTCTTTTTCCGGGTTTAAATTTTCCCAATTTACTAACTATTTGTGAAAACTACTAAAGGTAAATGACACTTTGAAATTCTGTAATATAACAAAAGAAAAAGGTCTCCGCCAAGAACAGAAAATATAATTCACTACTACAAAACGATCATTTGCTTTTTCATGTTCGCGTAGAAATTTTAATTGACGCTTAAATATTGTTTTAGTTTCTTGTCAGAACTACAAAGCTAAATAATCGTTAAATATAAATAACATTAAAGGTCAAAAGTAGTTGCATGTGTGGTAGATTAGAAAAAGTTTACCAAAAAAAGTTTACCAACCGTCTGAATTGCCGCCTATTGCTTTAAAGTTAAGCATTCAATTTGAAAGGAAAAAGGCACTTGCATTACAAGTATCATTTGTAGACCCCTCGATATATTAATAATCTTCTGATTCAATATACCTCACATCCATGGCAGCAGTAAAAGCAATCGGTTTAGAATTGAGGTTTTTCCACGAATGACCTTCAAAAGGCCGAGGGCAAGAACTTTTTAAGTATACGCCTTTCAAGACTGATTTATAAAATTCTTCTAGAATAATTCTGTTGTTCCAAGTGTTCAACGGTGTACGTATTGTTACAAGATCAGCAGACGTTCTCCTAGACATCTCAGAACCAAAGCCTTTTCAAGTAGACGATGTTAGGAAACAAGGCTTAGATCGCGCCATTTCTTGCAGTTGTAAATATTTCTTGCAGTTGTAAATATGGCGGTTTTAATTGACAAGTGGCTTGGGAAAATTTTTAATTCAGAAAGTAAACAAAAGAAGCGACTTAAAATAACATCGACGTAACAAAACTAATAGGATACATTAAGAAGTAATGTTGGAAAAATCAAAAAGATTTCCGTAATCGATAGACTTCCAAACTAGCCCCGTATTCGCAGTGGACGATAAAAATGGTTGAAGCATTTTGACATTAGCCAATCACCTTCTCGCATTCGCGACGTGCAGAAGCGACAAGTAGCAAGGCATGATATCCTCGCAAAGGCTGCCTGTTTGCGTCAAAACTCCTGTAAAATGTTGCTTTGGTACGAAAAATTGTAAAAAACTACAAACAGTCCTCAAAAGCAGAAGAATGTGATGCTCTGATTAAAGACCATCAAAGAAGTATTATCCTCAATCTTGGAAGTAAGTGGCAGTGGTTAAGAAGTTGGATGAGTAATTTTAGAGACAACTTACGAATAAGAAGTGGACTTTTCTAAACGTTTCCTCGAGATCAAGTTTTAACGACAAAGGCTAGGTAAGCTTGCATTTATTTTTTCTTCGTGAATCAATCAGTCATGGCGTATTCTGTGACTCATCTTAATTCACCAGTCATACCTAATTTCTCCGTGTTGTTAAACGATAAAAATATGTGCTCAAAAAGAGGGCACTAGAACCATACGAAAAGAAAACCATACACTCCTTTAGGGTTAAAAAATAGGTCTGAGTTTCAATATCATCAGATTCTTGCTGACTCAATCGAATGCATAACAGCACAACTACACATCAGCTTCACAAAATTAACAGCTCAGATCTGATTTTTTAATTATTTTCCAGATACCACATTTCTCAAATAAGGGAGCCAAGTACTTGAAACAAATTACTGACTTCAAATTAGCTCTTACACACTGTATGGATCGCCATTTAATGCAATGTTAGCATAAAACCAAGAGGCATTTTTTGTTTTGTTTTGTTTTTTTTTTTTTTCAAAATTTAACATGAATAAATTCGAAAGTCTAGCCTCATCTCTCGACACAAAATTTACGTGGTGTACAAGACACATAGTGGGGGATGAAAGAAAAAACAGAACATTGAAAAGAAATATAAAGCAAAAAAAAAAAAGAGAGAGAGAACCTGCTTTATCTTAAAATCTATCAACTAATCTTCCATGAGGAGTAACTGAAAAAAGGGTTGAGTCATGTAAACAAACAAATTAATAAATTCTTTGATTGTACACTGATATTATTTTGGTTTTATTTCATAGTATAAAATGAATATATAAAACAACATACCACAATCCAAGGATGTTTCAAGGCATCTGCTGCTGTGATCCTTTTACTTTGATCTACAGTGAGCATTTTGTTAATAAGATCTTTGGCTTCTTCTGTCACACTGTCCCATTCTGGAGAGGGAAACTGTAACAAAAAATTAGAGTGTTAGTGAAGCAAAATAAAACAGGTGCTTAAGTCACTCTTGTAATTGAAGGTGGCTCTGTTTGAGATACCATTGCAAAGGAAGCATATGAAAAGGTGTGGTTGTATCAATCCTTAAAAAAATTGGAATTTAAGAATATCTAAATACATCATTCCAAGGCACCATAATTTAAAGTGAGGCAAATTTCAAAACGAGGATTCATCGGTCGCAAGAGTTGGATAGAGTAAATTCAGTTCCCTCTGAGGATTTCATAATAAATGAATGATGAACTAATTTAAAAGGATTGCAGATTTATTCATCAGCCTTTCACTGCCTTGATGTTAAAAATTTTATCATCAAGAAGTTGGAACACCCAAATTTAACCCCTTACAGTGCCGAGCATTTTATTACTCCTAAAAGTATCAAACATAAATTAAGGTCATGAGAATAAAGGAAATGATCAGAAACTCAAGCTCTTGATTGTTAGACAGATTTTCTCTGTTAGTGTCATGGGAATTGTATTGGGGAGAGAATGGAGAACTTGCATACTGATGTTAGGACCTGAAAGGGTTAATCAGGTTGTAAAAGCTGATCAGCAAAAATAATTATCTAGGTGTTCCCAGTGCAGTGATTACAATTTTCCCTGATCACCATGATCAGTATAAATAAAATCGCCGCGTGTATCACTGGTTTAAGGCAGAACAAGATGGTATTTGGAATGTCATTTTAATTTTTCCAACTTTATATTTCAACAGGTGTAGTCAGGCTGATTTTAAGTTTTCAACACGTAAAGTTCAAGTTTTGGTGGCCACTTGTAGTCAATGCTGGCTATGTTGTGAATTCCTGAAATGTTTGTGGGAGCCTACATGGCTCTTAAAACACAAGGCCGAAGGGCAGGTATAATGGCATTTCAGACGGGGAATACAAGTGTCTGTGTACTATTGCACGCTATTGTGATCTACTTACAGTGCCATACCTTCAAAATATCAAAATTTTTCATTTTGCTGTACTACAGCTTCACTTCTCTAAAAAGCAACTAATATTGAAATCTTGAAAGTTGAAATGTTAAATGTTAAGTGTTAAAAGCAGGATATATCAACAAAGTTAAAATGGTAAATTGGCCACCGTAACGATTACAAAAGCTGAGTCAGACGTTTCGAGCGTTAGCCCTTCGGACGAAGGGCTTACACTCGAAACGTCAGCTTTTGTAATCGTTACGGTGGCCAATTTACCATTTCAACTTTGTTGATATATCCAAATTATTTCATTACCCCCACCGACGCAGCCCCAAACAGTTTCTTTCGAAACTATCAGCCTTTGTTAAAAGCAGGGTTTGACTTCACATAGCTTTTTGTGCAGATGTAGGTCTACATTGTTTAAATCAATGGTGTTTTTTTTGTGTAACAAAAAAGGAACAAACACTGTGACTATGGCAAAAAAAGGGGGCACATTTTCCCTCTGTGATGTGTTAGGGAGATTTAGTTTGCAAAGTTTTATCTAATTCCAGTATCATTTCCTGCAACCAAATCTATGGCCAGATTAGTTTGCAATGCTGCTTGCATCATATTGAAATCAAGGACAAGCTTTTTTCAGAATAAATAACTTTGTCATGTTATGTATATCTGTACAGGATTTTTTTGCAAACTAGTTCAAGTAATGTGATTGACGTCAGACCTCTTGCCATATACTGATTCTCTGTAATTAGGGAAGCAGGGATGGCACTGTAATAGGAGCACTTCCTTTCTGTCAAAATGCACAACTCTTCACACCTTGACATCAACATGCATATTCTCCATACCATTCTCTACACATTTCCTGAAGTGCAGACCAGGACAATTTGAGCTTCTGTTATTGGTGATCATTTCCTTTCTTCTCGAGACCATGATGTGTGATTCAGGGATGTTATTGTGTGGAGAAATTAGATGCTGGTCACTGTTAGGAGTCAAAAGGTTAACAGCAACCTGTGATGGACTATTAATCCTTACAAGGGATGTAAAAATACTCCCAGTAACTTTGTGCTACAGAGAGAAGGGTGAGCTTTACTACCTTGTGGGTCACTTGGCTCAAGTGTGAACTTAACCCTTTCATTCTGAAGATCTTATTTAGTAATTCTGGTATCTGGTCAATTCACCACTATGACAAACTTGCCACCACAAAACTTTGCTGTATTTATACACACTTTTAATTTCACAATATACTTCCACCTCTAAGCATTTATATGATGTAAGTTTCATACAATATCATTCATATTGGTGGAAATCACTTAGCGAAAATCATTCGGCGAATATCACTCTAGATTTGTTGTTCACAAACTGACCATACTCTTTGTGATATCAACATGTTTTACTTCGTTTAACATTCTACTTTTGAGATGCTACACCTAACTTCCGAGTCCCTTTCCCTTTTCACAATAGACTACATCTTGGCTTTCGTTTGATGTAAGTTTTACAAAAAAGGCTACACATGATGTTCAAGTCAGTGGTGATTTTACTTTGAGTGGTGGCCAGTTTTGTGGTGGCGGATTGACTGTAAACCTTAATTCTCCTTACTGCCTGCCATACAACTCTAATAATGTTAGTTTGGAGAACTTGGAATTATATCAACTGATAATTGCCTAATTGATATTTTTCATTATTCTCATCACCTGTCTGCTTGATACTGTATTGATATTGTAAGGAGAAATTCTGTCTTGGTCATTCATGGGAGTTAGAGGGTTAAGTTCTTATTTTACTGTGGCCAGGGTTCCATTGTGGTCCTAATGTTGCAGGTAACATGAACTTATTGTGATTCCTTGTCCTTACTCAAGGGTTTTTCTACAGCATCTCCCTGTTCAAAAACCAGCACCAGGGACAAAAAGAGCCTTTTATGGATATTCCCTGCTAGGTCTAATTTACCTATTTTGTTATTGATGTTTACCTTGATTATTATCAGAAAAAAATTCACTATGCAATTCATCATTGGGGCAGAAGGAAGTTAGCAATCCTTTTTTTTTTTTTTTCATTTTTTTAATAAGTGAACAGCTCTTACAAAACATGATTCTGCTATAACATAGAAACAGAAGAAATAATCTCTTAGTATGTGGCTGACATTTTCCCTTGAATTTATACATCCCCTAACCCTAACCTCTCCTTAACAGTGTACTTCACACGGTCAAGTATTACTCTTTTGGTCAATTAGTTAGTCTTTCCTTCTGTCATAAAAGATTGCTCTAACAAAGCCACAGCTAAAAAGAAATGTTGTGGCAAGAGCAGCTGATGAAAGCACAGGAGCATCATTAGAAGAAACCTGCTGTTTTCTTCTTAGAAACCTGGCATTGACTACAAGAAAGTTTACTCTAAACTGGCAGTGTGCCAAGAGGAAATGATAAGGTCAAATTTGTCAACTTTCCAGTGAATTGAATGCAGTGATTTCACACCACCACCAACAAGCCTTTTTCACAATCTTAGCAGGTAAATTTGAGCTACTTAAGTATTAACTGACACATCTTGGACAAAAATGTGTGTAAACAAACTCAAAGCAGTAAGAGAATAGAAAGACACGTGGAAGTGAAAATAAGGGAGTGCACTGGAAACAAGTTTGAAACAGACTCTTTGGGAATTCTCCTGGAAGTAATAGAAACATCTGCAGAAAATGAAGAACTTTTTCGTGAATGATAGCCTTCTATGAGAATATGCTTATATTCTAGGGGAGTAAAAATCTCAATTACCAGGGATAAAAGGTAAGCTCATTTTTTTTAGCTATTACTAGTGTCTGAATGAGGATTACCGCACCACGATAAGGCCTCTTGCCTTAGAAATCAGCGAAGATGCAGAACCCAAATTCTAAGGAGGTTGCATCTAGTAAATTTTAAGGCAAGGTCAAAAATCACGATGATTTTGAACAATATTACATTATTCATAACGTCTCACTGACAATCCGTCTTTAATGAGGCGACTCTGAATTTATTATCAAAATCCATATTCTTTGTGGTGGAAAGAAATACAAAAGATTAAATGATGAAAGAGACAATGGACTTACCTGCGTAGTTGTCATTAGATCTTTGCAACAGCGTCCATATCAAAGATCTTGTAAATTAGACGAGAGGCGCTAATTTATTTTCCGCGAGCTACCAGTTTTAACACGCGAGGAATTCAGAATATGGATTATTAACGTTGTAAAACTGGAAAATATCTTTTTAGAAAAAAAAAATCTAACGGCTACAGTTGTTAAGTAAATTATTTCTCCACGTCGATAATTTTACTTCGCTCTTATCGACACCAGGTGTTACCCGGAATAATAGCTCCTCAATTAACGCCAGAAACCACCAAAAGAAGAGTCAAACAAAAAACAATTTATCGCTTTGATATTCAAGTTAACCGAGTAATGTTGGTTTAGACTCCATGGCGAGGGAAAGATCATTAGTGGGAATGATTTATGTTCGCACGAATTTTGAATCTATAGCTTTTCATTGTCAATCACGATTCGAAGGCGAAATAGGAAGAAATGATAACAATAATGAAAGAAAACGGACCGTAATTTATATGCTAAATAAACGAAAACAGGGTTCTGCACACAGCCGCTAAACCGACGGAAAAATAAATAATATGAATGGTGTTTCGGCTGGACTTAAATATATTAACGATTCGTGGAAAGAAACAAAAGATCGATGAAAACCGCCCGGCTCGCACCGTATCAGTTTCCCAAAGTGAAAATGTAAATCATAAAATCATGCCTATTTACTTACGTCGTAGGCCCCTGCCTTAATCTGACTGTACAGTTTCTGCTGATCTTCGTCCCAAAAAGGAGGATAGCCTACCAGAAGAATGTACAGAATCACTCCACAAGCCCACAAATCCACCGCCTTGTTGTATGCTTCCTTCTTCAAAATCTCCGGAGATAAATATCCCGGCGTCCCGGCGAAACCGAACCACCCTAATTTGCCGTTTTCGACTTCGATTGCCAATCCAAAGTCAGCTAGTTTGCATATCGCTGATTTTTCCTTGCTAGAGAGGAGAAGATTTTCGGGTTTCAGATCCCTGTGCACTATATTGCTGTCGTGACAATGCAGAACACTCTGTAACACTTGCTGTATGCAGTGAGAGGCGTCTGCCTCACTGTAGTACTCTCGGGCTACAATCTCCTCGAAGAGTTCTCCACCAGTGACCAGATCAAACACCAGGTAATAGAAACCTTCTTCTAGGATGCTAGAGTGAAGACGGACGATATTGGGATGTCTTAGACCCCGACAAATCCGAGCCTCTCGCTCAACTTTCTGGATGTCGCGCGAGGTCATCTTTCGCGTGTCGAGAATTTTCACGGCAAATTCGACTTTACCTTCCTTCAGAACACATTTACGAACTACACTAAAGGCTCCTCTTCCAAGTTCCTCCTTGATTTCATACATATCGTGAAAAGGTCTCGCCTGAGACGCCATTTTCCCCTTCAGCTTTTGATCTGGTTGTGATTTTACGATTCGATTGTAACAACAGCTGTGAGAAGGGCCTGGGATGAAGCGTCCGGCCTTGCGGAAATGAAAGGTTCAAATCACACCACTGTTTACTTCCGTTACGTATGAAAACAGCTTCTAGGCGAGATTGACGGCGTAATTTATTTTCTTCTCCGTTATCAGCGATTGCTACTTTTCGACACATCTTTAGACATGGAACATAGCCACACATTTTTAAGCGTATTACCGTGACGCAATTTCTTAAGAGCGCAGCCGAACGAACATTGCTTACTCCCTTATGCCTCAGCCTTTTAGCTGTAAACCCATTTTTTTAATTCCAGCTCCAGGTTATGATTAAATTTAGCTATTGTGGTCGAGGAAAGTGAGAGTTTTGATAATAAAATAACCAGTAAACTCCAAATTATTGCCAAGAAGAGAGAGCTAGTTTCAAGTTCTATAACAGTTCCTTGAGCACAGTCTTATTGGCAGATGGTACTTGTACTACTTGCAGGAATCAGCTAGTCATCTAATCTCGTCTTCTGTAAGACTTTATAAGCCTTGGCCGAACATTTTTTCGATCGAGAGCTTAAGCGCCCACTCTTTAAGGAGAGCCCAGGTCTAAATGAGAAGATCTTTTACCGCCTTGAGCAAAATATTTCAAAGTTGATTCTTTCGCTTTACGCATTATATTAGTATACGCATTCAAATGGTAAATAATTAACGAAACTTCAGAAAAAGGCAATTTTATTGATTTCAATCAATGAAAAAAAATCTAAAGTTAAAAGCTTAAACTTTAAATCAAGAAATTAACCAGATTTCGCAATCGTTGCAGTAGCAATTCTTTGGATTAAATTGGAAAACACTTAAAATTCCTCAAATAATTTTAAGTGCCTAGTTTTCATGGATGTCTCCTAAACTTATTTGGTGTCCCACCTGCGACTGAACTGAAAACAGTTGACACGTTGATCGTGTCAATACAATAATGCAGCTTCATTTTGGAAGTTTCTGTTCTGTCAGCTTCGGTCCTCTTGAATGATAACAATATATCCCTTAGAGTAGGCCTTCGAGAATTTCCCTCTGAGTCAACAATCAGCCTCATGAACCTGTGCTCATTAGCCATGCTGATGCTAATCAAAGGAATACCGCCAACTTTTGTTTTTCTGGAATATATAGGCTTTAAAGAAGATGAGTAGAAAGGAGCAATTTCTATTTTTGGACGTGCTGTGAAAGTTTGTCTATTTATTCCTGAAAAATGTGGACCGTGCACTCTTCCAAGAACGATGTTGAACTGTTTTAGTCGTGTTGGGCAAATTTTGACATAACGTACAGGCTTCATGAAGGAGAGGATGGAAAGGAACTATTTCTATTTTCAAACGGCTGTTAAAAGCTACGTTTCTTTTTCCAGAAAAAAATGTAGACAGCGTGCTGTTTCGGGAGCGATATCAAACTGTTTAAGTCGTGTTGGAAAAATTTATTTTATTGTCCCTCGGAAACAGATATTGCTTGAGGGATGATGTTTTGGTGGTTTCTCGACTTGAAAAAACAGCGTGCGTGGGCGCGTTGACAACAGACTCTGACAAATCTTGTACCTAGATCTCTCATTTTCTCCCACAACGAGGAAATTTTCCACCGATACGCAAGTGAAAGGGACCGCAAACTGATCAACTGAATCCTTGTAATGTCTGATTAAAGAAAGGCTTTCCCGACCGGTATTACCACCTTCCGCATAAATATTGATTAACAAAATGTTTTCTCGACGCCAACTAAAAATCGCAAATCCTGAGGGGCATTGCTGGCTAAAATTGCAATCCGTCCCCTTTCACTCGCACACCGATTCTCTTTTCTGATTGTTCAAAATTTCTTATAATTTCAGTTCTAAAAAATTGACATCGAATCAACCAATATTCCTTGGGAAACAATTTGTTTAGAATTTTTTCTTATCACCTCTCAGTTTGAAAATTTGCCGTGTGTAAGCGAAAATTGCTTTTTGGTCACATTCTATACAATGTGAAAGAGCTAACTGCAGAGTGTTATACAGAGAAATGTCAAAGGAGACGGCGCAAAAGTTTTTCAGTGCTGCGTGATATAGTTATAGTAAGGCAAAGGTGAACTGATGGACGGGGCTTCTGCTATCTTGAAGGTAAGCTCATTATCTGACAATACCTGGGGCGTTTCTCTTCTCATTATGTTAGCAGAGAGCTCTTTTAAATCTCAGTGTCCCTCCCTTTTAAATCCCAGTTGTCTTAATATTACTGGCAAAAAAAGAAATTCTGGTTTGATGTGATACAAGGACTGCTGAATACTTACTCATAGCTAATGTAGGTTGTGAAGTAAAAATAATGAGACCATTTTTTCCCCTTGATTTGGCTTACTTCAAGAAAATGAATAAGGCTCTACGTCCTAAATGATAACTCAAAGCTAGAAATTCCTTTTCTGAAAACTGGGATCAACACCCAGCTGGAATATTTTTGCTCTTTTCTCTTTGTTATTACTGGTGATTATTAAAAATTGCAAGGTTGCGCAATAACTCTTTCAAATAAACCTTTCTTAATCAATAAGGAAACTTAAATTAACACTTGTAATTCGACCCAAAGAGCCTGACATTATTTCTTTGAATACGATTCTACTTTCCTTGTTCAAAACTTGACAATCCCTGTCTTATTATTCGCTCTAGATTAGAAAGCAAAGCACTCTTCAATTCTTAAACTGCCTTTGTTATTGATTCAAAACCCAAGTAAGCAAGGTGCAATACTTTCTTTTGATTGTGATAGTTTGCGAAAGTCACCAAGTTGCCATCAAATTTGGGTTGCGTTCCTTTCTTTTCCTTTTATGTATTTACTTTTTAACCAAAATATGTTTGTTAGAGTTACACAAAAAGTTTACAAAACAGAAATAGCAAATACTAACATTCTACGCCAAGCTTGTACTTCTTCAATAATCTAATAAGGGTCAGTTAAATTTCCAAGAAAGCAAACCGTATTCTAACTCAGTTGTGAGGACCAAACCCAAACGGTAGAAATTCATAGAGGGAGACGCTTTGCTTTCTCCGCTTCTGTGAATCTATAATGCTGGTGCAAGATGCGGTGCATGGCCATATGGTTTAACGGCAGGTTCGGGATCGGGATCGCACAGAGATCCCGCATGTGTTATCTCCCTCAGCCTTTGCCAGTTCGGCAGACAACTCAAATCTCGGTTTCGATGGTTCATGATATCATGGTCAACCTCATCCATTATGGCTTCATCGTACAGAAACTGCAGTAAGCTCTGATTGATCTAACCTCGCCCTCAAGCCATCTCGCTTGCAGATCAGTTTCGCCTACAAGTCATCTCGTCTACGGGCTGGTTCGCCCACAAGTTATTTCGCCTAAAGGTCAACTTCACCCACTAGCTATCTCGCTTACATACGTGTCAGTTTGCGCAAGAGTCATCTCGCCAAAAGGCTCACCTTTCTGGGCTAAACGTTTCAGGTTGTGGCCATCATGATCGTGGATTGCATATCATTGAATCACAGAGTATGCAACGTGGAATGTTGAGCGTTCTCTATTGCGACTTTCATATTCCCCTTTTTCTTTTAACAACCACAAAACGCTCTCTCATCTAGAATTAAGTTTTAAACGAAGACTTATCGTAGTAGACGTAAGGTTTCAAAACTGGGAAATGTCTCTTGGGTGATATCTCTCGTTATCTGTCTGAAATGAAGAAAAAGAAAAAAAAGAAGAAGATATGCCATACAATATGGTCCAAGATGCATCTACCTATCCATGGTTGCACTTCAAATGCAAACTTGTCATCGTAGGAGCTAGCGGCCTTGCAGATGACTACTTCTCGATGTTGTCTTCGTTAAACATTAGATTTTTAATTGGAATTTGTCCTTACCAGATTTGTAGGACAGCTGGTGCAAAATATCAGGTGGCTTTTTCTTAGTTAAATACATAAATGAAACCTGTTTTTGAATTTTATCGCCACCCATTCGAAGAGGTGGGGATGATACTGGTTCAATCATTAAATTCAATAATCTAATATATATTTTATATACCGAACTATTAAAATATACTCATTCATGATTGTTTTTTATTTGATTATTTTTTACGACGCCTTTTCCTTCTATTCACTCATTCGCATGACCTGACCCTTTCTTCTAATACGAATGACTGATTACGCACAAAACATATTGAAAACAAAGCATTTCACAACACGAAAGTTCAAGCACCCAAAACGCATATTCTTGAACAAGCAATACATCGTTTCCAACCATGGCCGATGCAGCAGCCGCTATTGCAATTTGCAGTGTGATTTTTGCACTGTTTGTTGTCTTCTGGATTGGAAGTATGTGCTACTTCAGGACCCCGTGTAAAGATCTGAAGAAGGAAACTCACTATATTGAACAAGGAAACCTCAGTTAGGCAGAGAAGAGCGATTCTGATATTCATTAGCTTAGCAAGGTACGTTTTCACAGTTTTTTTTTTTACCGTGCGCTGTGGAACCGAATGTGTGATGCTTATGTTAGTATTGTGGCTGATTACTTTACTTGTCCAGATGTCCATACTGCGAGTTCTTATCCCGCGGCTTAACCAGGGAACTCTTACAATGAGTCATGATTCCATTTCTGTTTGAGATCTTTACAGTCGACTATCCAGACAACAGGCTCCAATCCTTTACATTCTAACAGCAGAATTTATTGATACGTCCTCGAAATATACATTTAGTCCTTGTAGTTTTCGGTAAAGTGACTGTCAGCTTCGATAAATTTTGTCTAGTTTTGACCGCAAACGAACCATGTGCGTGAATAAATATGCTAAACTTGTCCATTAGCTCAAGACATTTTAATCATAGAAAGGTTTTACGCGAAACTAAAAGTAAAAAAAAAAAAGGACTAAGTAATCTTTCCCGGTAACCCAGAAGAGCTCGTCAGAAGTAATACATGAGTGATAGCACAAACAGACTCGATATTGCAGGCAGTTTGGTGAAAATTTTGCATATAGCGACACGGTCTAGTTGACCAGCTAATAAAGTCACGGAATATTTTTGATTGTCTGCCCGCTAGGATTGTTATGTTCAAAAGGCAAACCCGCGTTTAAATGCTGGAGTCGCGACGATCTGTTGCCCTCCGAGAAACTCGTGATCAGCTCAGTGCAATCGACGGAGTGTCTCTCTTGACTTCTCTCGAATCTTTAAATAGAAAAAAAAGAACAACAACAACAAAATGAAAAACTTAACGGAGGCGAAATGGATTTCTTTTATAAACATGCAAGTATGCATGGTACGCACTCCTTTTCTAATACTCGAATAATCATGACTGAATGACGGTCTCTTTTGGCTCGACGCCGTTTGGCTTCTTCATAATTTTTTTTCTAAAATGTTCGTGTCTGTTTTATAAAACAGAATATTTTTTTTTCTGGAGCTTGAAATACTTCAGATATTAACAGACAAATGAACAAACTAATGACTACAAATACGCCATTTTCCCACCAAGGATAATGGTGTACTTCGACTCCTTTGGCAGAAATTCTAGTTCTTCTTAATATTTTCCAGTTCGCGATATGAGTGCACACTATTGAATAGCTCTTACATTAGGGGAACTTAACCCTTTCACTGCTAACAGTGACTGGCTTCTTCTCCGCCCTACAGCAGCACTCTTGAATTGATAGTAAATGTCACGAGAGGGAACGAAATGATCACCAATCTAAGATCCTCTTGATTGGCAAAACAAATCCTCATTGTCCGACACACTATTCTCTTTACATTTCCTACGGTAATGGAATTAGTATAGGAATTATATAGGGAACGGCATTGTATAAAATATATTAATAAATAGTTTACTTATGTTAGGGCGTAAGGGCATAGTTAATAGCTATGGTAAGGGCGTAAGGATAGAAGTTTGGTTGCGCGCAAGAAAAAGAAAAATCGCGCTCTTTAGAAAACAACCAGAGTTTTCTTCTCATGGCCGCGGCCATTAAAGTCTGTGATTGCAGAGGAAGGGAGGAGTCTATCATTTATAAGGGAATGTTCAGTCATTCATGTTACATGTACTTGTTTTCTGGCTCTACGTATCGTTACATTTATTTGAACCATAATGAAACTTATGATCATTTGAAGGTATGAGTTGAATTGGAAGCGCATTACTTGCGCATATATAAATGTTTGCCGTCGACTTGAGGAACGTGTTTACGTATCAGTATACAAACACAACGAATATATGAAATTCATCTATCTGAACTGCAGTTACAAAAACGTATTTTTGCACGATCGTCGCGGTAACTGAGCACTATTTTAGCAATAGTGAAAATCAGACCAGTGGTTCGAATCCCGTACAGGCCTCAATTTTTTCAGGTCTGATTTTCACTATCGCTTAAATAGCGCTCAGTTACTGCGAGGATCGTGCACAAATATATTTCTATAACCGCAGTTGAGATATATGTATTTCATATATTCGTTGTGTTTGATTTATCATCTTACGGGTTTATGTCGGACTAATTTGATGACCTGCTCCCAGATGGCTTGTTAGCTCGATTGTTAAAGCGCTGCATTAGTAGTATCGCAGAAGTCAGTGGTTCGAATCCCGTTCAGGCCTCAATTTTTTCAGGTCTGATTTTCACTATTGCTTAAATAGTGCTCAGTCACTGCGAGGATCCGGGCACAAGTACGTATCAGTATACAATTAAGATGCAAATTACCGGCTAAGTACTCCAAGCATAATGAACGTGGATAAAAGCAAAGTAAAGATCGTGCATTTCAATGAGGCGGTAAGTCTTTTTATATGCATAGAACAGCAAGTGTTCGCGGTGTTCTAAATCCAGTCGCCATCTGTCAACAAAACAATCAACCTTAACATGGCAGTAGACAAAAAGACGGCTTTAGTGGTGTCAGCAGTTCTATTTGGTGTTTTCTTCTCATTCTGGATTTTATCGCTGATATTTTGCAAATGCCGTGAAACTAGCAATGAATCTATGTCAAGGCACTTCAATCGGCGTTTCACACCCGAGGAGGAACGAATGATACGGCAAAATTCCGAAAGAAGAGCACAGAATTACAGGGATAACTCTTTCACCGTGTGATCTTCTCAACAGTTGTTAAAAAAAGAGAATTGAGATAGTAAGTAAACACCACATAACTTTCGTAATCTAACGACTACACCAGCGCTTCAGACTTGATGTTCTGACCGAGTCAGTGATTAGCGGACACTTGATTCAACGTCCGGATTTAAGCTAATATGTTTCACGAAAAAACCAATTTTTTAACAAATGGGCGATGCGTAAGAATCGGCTAATAGGTCTGTACACTCCACCCTGTTTGATATCTCTTAAAATCAACAAGGTGGCTGTGTACTCAGTGAACTATTACCGATTTGTTTGCTGTCCCTGTTTTTTATTTCTCGATCCAAAAATGGTTCACCCTTCCGCTCACGTTTTTTTTTTATTGTTTGCTGAAGGTTTAAGTGCTCCATTTTTTCTTTTGCAAAGCTCATGGCTGTTAACGAGCTTGATCTGCAGAGAAGCATGTGACCAAGAGCAATGCCATCTCGCTTTGAAACAAGAATACCTTAAGCTCCAAGTTTGGTGTTATGTTCGACTTTGGTACAAGTTTTTTTAATCGGCTGTTAGACTCTATATAGCGAGAATTTGCTGGTGAAACAATAGTGAAGAAAACGATTTGTATTCGTGTGGATTTGTTTATGTTGCTTTTATAATCTAAGGGTCTTATTCGCCAACATTATCACCATATAACACGACAAACGCAATATCATAATGAAAGACGTCCGCAGGCTGACCAAGCTAATGCGCGCTTGAGGTCTCCAGTAGGGAAGTTAACCATTTTTGAGGTATAAAAACTGAGTAATATGTCAAGCTGAGATTTCATTTTGTTGTTGTGGTTGTTTTTATTTAAAAGAGTGGCAAAGGGGCTCAGTTTGCACCGGTTTTTTTAGTCCGGTCTTCAGAGTTTTCGAGAAGGGGCGTTAGGAGGGCGGGCTCATTTCCAGAACAGCGGTTGAAAATCGAACCAAAACAACAAAATTCCTTACCGTTCACCCTCCATTCTCAGACTCTCTTAGGAAAGTGGACATTTTCAGTTCATGCATTTTGACTATCTGTAAACTTTGTTTAAGAAGAACGTTTAATTCGTTGAAGGATTAACCAAAATCAACTACTATCTTAGGCGATGTGTTTTGTTTCAGAATGATCATGATACCTCTGCAATAAATAATATTGCATTAGAAATTGTTCACTCTAGTCCGAAACTATTGTCTTGAGAGCAAAAGATATATCCTCCAACTGAATATCCTCGTTTATTCCTGCAACGATTACAATATTTTCGGGCTCAAATCCTGCGCAGGTTGCTCGCTCGGAGGTGAATAACAAAGGATATTTGGAGTTTAATACACCAATCAGAGCAC